ATCTCATCGTTATTTCCCCTTCACATTAAACTTTGCTTATGAAGTGTTACATTAACTACTTCTTTGACTTTTAAGTCAGTTTGTTAAAGTATAACATGACTCTTTAAGGCATTTAACCAAGTAACAAATACCATAATGAACTGTTGCTATTCTTAGGCAATTTTTTCTAGGGCCTTCACTTTTACTATGCTATATAGAAAATCATATCCAAGTTTTTTTGATGTTTAGTGTATCTTTGTTTTTTTTCTCTTTTTTGGGTACTTTTAGAATAAATTCTTAGAGTGGGAATTGTATGTCAAATGGATTAAGCATTTTATTTTATTTTTTGCAGTGTTATGAGTTGAATCCAGGGCCTCATGCATGCTAGGCAAACACTACCACTGAGCTACATCCCCAGCCCTAGATTAAGCACTTTAAAAACTTGTACATACTATCGAATTGCTATCATCTGAGCACATTGAATTGAAAATCCTACTGACAAATGAGTCTGCATCTTATGCAGTTGGACAGTGGACTCAGGGACTTGGGTGAACATTGAACTCCTCGAGGTGCACATAAAATCTCCCCTAAGCAACTTGTGCCAGCAGAGGAAATAAAAACTGCTGCTGGACCCAGCAGGCAACAGAAGAGCAGTGGAAATACTGTGTCCCCAGCTAGCTGTGAGATCATAGGCACCTTGGTTAATCTGTTGAGCCTCAGTCTCCTCACCTGAGATTACTGTAATCAGGGTAGGAGTTTGGAGTAAAGACGATTGGATAGAATACTCTTAATTCTTCTGTCACATTACACAAAATGAGTTACTAACTTCTATTAATACTAAACTGCCAGACCTTTTTCCCATCCCTTTCTAGCCTCCTCCCTTACCCATCCTCACTCCTGGTTTCAGAACCTCTTGATAAACTCTCAGTACTCATCTGTCATTCGTCTCCAGCCCCTCAGCCTCCTCAGGGAATTTGTCCCATCCAGTGTCCCAAGACATACTGTTTCACATGTTAACATCTGTAAAATCAGAAGTGGGATTAGTGATGTGTCATAGTGTTGTCAGTAGCCTGTAAGCCTTACATAAAAGGTAGGACAAATTGAGGACTTCATAGATTCAGTAAGCAGAATAGCTTTCTAAAATAGATGGAGACCTTTGAGTTGCTTTCTGTTGCTGTACTCTGCCCACCTGCTGCATCTCTGTGACTCCCCTGGGCTCTTCGGGTCCCTTGTTGTACCTCACATCATCCTCCTGGGAGATGCAGCTGAAGGGCCTCTTGCAGTTGTGCTCAGCCTGTCTTTTTCTTCTGTCTCCACTCCTCAGGCAGAACTGGGCACTCTTAGCTCTCCTATCTGTAGTCATTATGCTTCCAAGTACTAGAAGCCTTTGCAAGGGCGAAGACTTCTTAACTTACCTTTGCTCTCTGGAGTCTGACAAGCCATGTATGCTCAGGAACTGTTTGGATGGAGTTAACTAGAAGCTGGACAGCTAACTTCTAGAAAAAGCTTTGGAATAGGTTTTTAAAATGCAGAGTATTTTGTATCTCTTTCCAGAAGATGACTGCCTTTCCAGAGCTCATACTGTTCACTACTGTTAGGTAGAGCCTGCTGGCCTTGGTTCTTCATAAAGCAGGCTACTCCTCCCCACCCCCAGGTACTGGAAATTAAACCTAGGCCTCATGCATGCTAGACAAGTGCTATAACACTGAGCTACATCTCCAGCTCTTTTTATTTTGAGACAGGGTCTCTGTAAGTCTCCTAGCTTGGTCTTGAACTTGCCATCACCCTGCATCAGGCCACTTCGTTTGTTGTGGTATTGGGGTTTGAACTCAGGGCCTCACATTTGCTAGGAAGGCTCTCTACCACTTGAGCCACTCCGTCAGGTCAGCAGGCCACATTTTATTGGAAGACTTATTTCCATGAGATGGTTCACATCACCTGCTGGTTTGGGGATTGTTACAGTATTTCGTCTCCCTGCAGAGAATACATTTTGAAGTACAGAATTTATTTTGTGGTCAGCTGCTTTATCAGACTTGAGGGAAAGGTAGCAAAACTCCCCAAAGGCAGGCCTGCCTCTTTAATCACAGTGTGTCTTTTCAGCTCCCGGTGAACTGGGAGACAGTATTGTCTGCTAGAAGGATGTGGTTGTGGAGGCTCACATCCCACCTAACCACTCATGGCAGTGCTCTTGGGCAGGTGACTTGCCCCTCCTTACAAGTGTCTACAGTGTCCAGTGAGATGAGACTGAGCTTCTAAAATAAGTCCTGAAACCCAGTGAGCTCCTAAGGGTTCATCTCCCCAAGTCCTTACCACTTCCAAATCATACTCAGTGTTTTCTCCCTTCATGGAAAGGAAGCTAAATTTTTAACTCTTAATATAACCCTTACAGTGTCAGGTTATACCAGATAAGGAAATTATAAAAACCAAGTAAGAATTATTTGTTTCTACCAGCTTAAAAAACTAAATTTCACATGGGGATTAGCAGCTGCCACATGTCTATTCCAGTTATACATCCCAAAAGTGGGGAAATAACCAAGGATGGGATTGGGGACCTTCTGTACTCTCTGCAAGATTGGCCAGAGCTAAAACTCATCAACCACCTGACTTCTATCCACTCCTACTCTGTCTGGTGGAGCATGGTGTATTTTGGGCCTTAGAAATTAGCATCATTTCAGAACCACGGTTCCATAATCCCCAGTACTTTAGCCATTTTCTCTTCCCCAGTGACACTTAGTGATGACTACGGTTCCTCTGAGGAGGCTGGAAGTCTAACCCCCATCTCAACATTTGCAAAATGTGCTAGCATTTCTCATGGTAATACAGAAGAATTAACCCATGGGTTGCTAACCAGAATATCTGGTATACTTTAACAAAAACTAAAATAAGGTTTTGAGGCCAGGGTCTTACCTGGTCAGAAGAGAGAAGTTACCTGGAAAACCAGGCAAGTGTAGATTGGCCTTCAAATATACATTCATTTGCACCTTAAGGACTTGGCTGTGAAGGTTCATTGAGGGGCCACAGTTACCATCTCTGGCAGAGATTGGTGGAGATGCTTTTTCAGTAGCGCTATCACCCTAAACGAAACAGCGGCCTGGTGTAACCCAAGGTCCTCCTCGCCTGCTCAGAGTAGTTCTGTCTCTGGGACTGGTGGCTGTGCTCCGTTGTTCAATTCTGTCCTGGTCACTGATGCTGAGTTCGTTCTAAGGGCGTTTCTTCCTCCTGGTACTTTCCTCAGCACTAGCCCCCTGTAGCTCCTCCTGACTTAGGGCGCTCTTTACTCTTGTTTTCTTTCTCTGGGTTGTTATAACCTGGACCAATATTAGAGCCTGTTTGGCAGACTTGTTTTCTTATTTCCCTCAGTTGCCATAGTTACCAGCTTTGTATATAAAATAATCCTCATTCTCCATCCTGTATCCCCTCTGCCCAAGCTCTCACTGTTTTCTGATGTGGCCTTGCAGAAGGAATTTTAATTTTCCTTTCTGGCTCTGCCACCAGGAAACACTTCTTGCTTTCCTCTTGCTCTCTCAAGTCTAGTTGGGGTGGATGTAGTGTTTTTAGTTAGCCTCACTGATTGCCAGTGACCTAGAAAGAGGATTATGAGAGGGGAAATAACTGTTCTGAAGAAAAAGCCATCTGCCCTTAACTGGTTCTACCTGTATTACTTTGATTTTGAGTAATATAAACAGATAAATTATATGATTGCAGGGAAAGCAAAGTCTGTCTGATTGTGGTCAAAACCTTAAGTCTTTGTCAAGTCATCTTGGCTCATACAGAACTAGAACTCCCAGACCTCTAGTGTCTTGGTAATTTCAAGGCCATTTGGGGTAGTGGGGAATTATCTGGATCACAGATCATCTTTACAAGAGGTACTGTAAATAAACGGCTAGTAAAAAGAACCCTGTGGCAGAGGCTGAGGAAGTGCAGTCCTTACCTTTGGTAAGGTGGTTGTACCATGCTGGAGCCAGAGGGCTTCTTAGGTCTTGGCTCTGTTACAAATGACCCATGTGATCATCTGGGGCAAGTTCCATCACCTGCAGGCCTAGCCTTTTCATTAGCAAGCTAAGATTTCTGCCTACTTAGACTTAGCTTGTGGGGTATCTGTCATCAAATAACCTTCAGGTGAGGGCTCAATGCATCCTTAGTTGCTTTGTAAAGAATGTTGGGTTGACTTGGAGAAGCTGGTCACCAGCCCACATGACTCAGTTCTACCTTATACATCTACTTCAGAGTCCACTGTTCCCACAAGACTTCGTATATACACCTTCCTGATCCATTTGTCCTTGTGGCATGTTGTCTATGTCCCATCTCCACCTAGACTCCCTTCTTGTGTCCCCCTGCTGATTGTTGCTGTCTGTTCTTTATGAAGGATACCTTGGGTCCTGCCCCTTCTGACTTCCTCACAGCTGGTGAGTCCTGCCCACTCTTCGTTGTGGTAGGAGTTGACTTGCTGCCCGTGATAATTACTGTCATAGGTACCTGTGAAACTAAGCTCTGTAGAGCTGGGGCTAGCAGAAGACATTGATGGATTTGAGTATGTTTCTGAAATGCACAAACTTGTAATGCTGTTCTGCATGCATTAATTAGAATCCTTCTGCAAGTCAGGGAAGAAGAGATGGAAGGTAATCTGCCTGGCACGGAGTAACAGTGACAGTGGAAGCAGCACATACTTGACAGCCTTCGTACACTGTACTTCTCTCGTCTTTCCAGCAGCTCTAGGGCTTTGGGGTGGAATGATGCTCCCAGTCTAAGGCAGTGTAAACAAACAAGTGGCTTCAGCCAGCCAGATAGCATCGGATCAACCCAGTCTCTTAATTTCCATCCCCTTGTCGCTGGTGCCTATGTTGTATCTCAGCTTGTGCTGTATGGGTAGAAATGGGCTTGTGTATATAGAGTTGTTCAGATCCTTTTGGAGCAGTTGTGTGTCACCACTGCCATTCTTTAATATAGTACATTCCTTTGGTCCAAAGTTAATGTGAATGTGTCCATTTCACCAAGCTCTTTCCTGTCCTCCTTTGATATAGGAGAAAGGATCCTGGGCTATGCTGAGGAACCCTGTTATCTCTGGTTTGTCATGGAGTTCTGTGAAGGTGGAGACCTCAATCAGTATGTCCTGTCTCGGAGGCCAGACCCAGCCACCAACAAAAGCTTCATGCTACAGCTCACGAGCGCTATTGCCTTCTTACACAAAAACCACATCGTGCACAGGGACCTAAAGCCAGACAACATCCTCATCACTGAACGGTCTGGGACCCCCATCCTCAAGGTGGCAGACTTCGGACTGAGTAAGGTCTGTGCTGGGCTGGCACCTCGAGGCAAAGAGGGCAATCAAGACAACAAAAATGTGAATGTGAATAAATACTGGCTGTCCTCAGCCTGTGGCTCAGATTTCTACATGGCTCCTGAAGTCTGGGAGGGACACTACACAGCCAAGGCAGACATCTTTGCCCTGGGCATTATCATCTGGGCAATGATAGAAAGAATCACTTTCATTGACTCTGAGACCAAGAAGGAGCTCCTGGGGACCTACATTAAACAGGGGACTGAGATCGTCCCTGTTGGTGAGGCGCTGCTAGAAAACCCAAAGATGGAGTTGCACATCCCCCAGAAACGTAGGACTTCCATGTCTGAGGGGATCAAGCAGCTCTTGAAAGATATGTTAGCTGCTAACCCACAGGACCGGCCTGATGCCTTTGAACTTGAAACCAGAATGGACCGGGTCACATGTGCTGCTTAAATTCAGGGCTGAACATCTTGGGTGTTTTTAAACAAGGTGAGTGCTCTCATCTTCTGCCTGCATATCTTTGTCTTGCACCATGGGGTGGGTAGGCCTTGTGGAGTCAGGGAGGTTATCAAAGATTCTTCCCACCCCCAAGTATTGCTGGGGAGATAGGTGAAATTATTTGAATATAAGTTGAGACATGTAGAGAAGTCTTTTGAGAGGAGGTTGTTTGGGCTGAATCCCATAAGTTCTTTAGAAATACTTTTTCCCATTGTCAAGTAGTAAATGCTCACTATAGAAAATGCACAGAAGAGGTGCAGCTTTTCAGAGAAGAAACAATTGCTAATTGTATTCCTCCTGTTGACACATCCAGTTCTATGTGTTTTAGGTCTTACTATAACAAGGCTGTTTCCTGTTCTTCCACTCAGGGCTGATCTCAGCACCCCATCACACTTGGAAAAGATGGCTTTTGGTTATTATATGACATCATCATATGTAGCATAATTTAACCATCCTACTTTAGATACCAGATTGTTTCTCCATTTTAGAGTTTATGTAGAATATATTAGTGATAATATTCTATGGAAACCTTTGCTGGTTTAACAGAATAATTATGGGTTTTCATTTGTCAAGTATACTACTAGGCTCTGGGGTAACATGATAAGCAAAAGTTTCCTCACCCATATGAATTCTGCAGCTTAATTAGGTAGAGAAACATTCATCAGTATTTATCATAGTTGTTTTACAGTGCAGAAGAATACTGAAGGAAATTGATATCTTGGGATGGTATCCAGAGGCAAAGAGTAAAGAATTGGGAGTAGTGGGGAAAATCTGAGTCTCTGTAAAGGACCTGGTACTAGGGGGAGTCTAGCATATTGGAGAGACTAGACTAATGTGGGTTGGTGAGGAGTATAGACATGTGGAGATTGAGGACAGGGATCTGCAAGATGGGACAGTGTGTACAGAGGTTGGGTGGAAAATCCAAAGATGTGGACCTAGAACAGCAGTGGCAGTTCCATTAGACTAGATTGAAATCTGAGTTGTGGACAAGACAAAAATGAGAAATTGGCCACCATACATGCTAGGTCTTTTTACACATACCGTAAGTGATTTATCCAAGATGCTGTTAAGAGCAGGAGTATAATACTTAGCCCCCTTACGTGTTGTTTCCTTAACATCACAATGGAAATAAACTGTTCTTAGGTTTTGCTGAAGCCTTGTTAAGAAGGTGGGGGTGATGCTGTCTCAGTGGTCACAGGAAGGAACATTAGGCACAGGGCCTCCATTACTTAAGTCACTTAGTCCCTTCCTCTCCCTTGGTTACCCTTGGATTTCTGGGTGGAGTTTGTTCATACTGAGTCAAGGAGATTTACATCTGTTGTGTTTTCAGTGACCACATTTCTGAGTGAGTCACTAGCCTTAACTCTGTCGTTCCACAAACATTTATGCGTACCTTCCAGGTGCCAGGCCAATTTGTCTACCACCCATTGAGTAAGACAGTAGCATTTCCCAAAGCCAGCCTGGGGTAGTGCTATGTTATAAACCCAGAAAGGTTGGCTAGCCAGCATATTAATTGTATTTCATGCTATCACTTTCCATTTCCAGCTTGGCCTTTCGGCTTTTGAAAGACCTCCTAGAATTCAAGTTTGCCCCTGTGTAGGAGGAAGGTTATCATTTTGGAAGAGGAACCTGAATTTGGATTAAGATTATGGGGTTGTCACAACTAGTTGTGAGCTCCCATTTGAACATCCACATTTTTAAGATTTGCACTGCTTTACAGGGCATAGTTTTAGCAAAATGGGAGTGATTCCTTCATCTATGAGAAATAGGTGCTCTTGAGGAGTTTGGACTTGTTTACAGGTAAGTATCCCAGGCTATTTGGTCAGTTCACTAGTACCCTGCTGGTGGTGCCATTTTGACTCTGGCCTGTCTTGCCCTGTCCTAGGTGTGCATTTAGAATTGTGAGACTGGGCCCAGGTTTGTGTGACTAGAACGGGACCTTAGGGTGCCAAAAATGTCAGATAAGTCGGAACTGGTTGGTTAGAGAATCCAAAGCTTAAGTTGAGAAGAACATTGAGTCAGGTTCTCTTCCCCCTGCCAAAGTTTAGAGATGGTTAAAGCTAATTCCATTTATTCATTTAACTTATTTATTGGGACACTGTTTGCCATGTACCATTTTAGGCACGGATGATACATTAGTGTACAAAATACATAAGTTTCTATAGTTGTGGAATTTAGACTCTACTGAGAAGACAGTGAACACAGGTCTCCTATTAGAAAGGGCTAAGTACTGAGAGTGTTCTAGCAGAGCAGGGTAAGGGATCAGAATGCTGGGAGCTAGTGGTATTGTTTTAAGTGGAAGAGATCAGGGTGGGTCTCCCGGAGACAGTAACCTAAGCACAGGTTAGGAGCTGAGGTAGTAAGTCTTGGATTTCTGGGGAAAAGCATCTCAGATATGAGGCAGTGTAATGGCCTCAAAGCTGGCAGTGAGCTAGGAGGAGGGCATAGAAAAAGAGCAGCAAGTAGGATAGGAGTTGAGTAGAGTAGGCCTTGTAGGCCATTGCAAAGATTTTGGCTTTTATTTGGGTGTGAGATGAAATGCCATTGGAGTGTTTTGAGTTGTGTGGTGTCTCATCCTTTGAAAGGATTGCTTTGTCTGCTGTGATAAAAATAAACTGTTGGGGAGCAAGTGAGGAGATAAGATGGGAGCTAACAGGATTTCCTGTGGATTGGATATGAGGCATGAAAAGGTGTTAAAGATGACTCCAAGTCTCTGGCCTAAGTGATTGAAAGAATGGAGTTACTGTGATGGCACAGGGAAGACGCTGGGAGGAATGGGTTTGGCTGAGGAAAGTTAGGCCTAGTCTTCTGAAACTTTGGCATAACCTACTTAGAGTACAGATGTAGAGTAGGTAGTTGGTGCATCTGGAGTTAAGGGGAGGGGTCCAGCATAGACATACAAATTTAGAGATTACCAAGACACTGGAGTGGGTATAGGTAAGGTCAGAGGACTAAGCTGTGGGTTTCTCTCAATATTGACCATTGGATTTAGCAAATGGGAATTCATTAGTGCTCTTAAGCCACTTTTGGTGAAATAATACACACCATCTAGAGTGGATTTTTTTTTTTTTTTGTGATGGTGGTGGTATTGGGGGTTTGAACTCCAGGCTCTCTCACTTGAGCAACTCCTGCAGCCTAGAGTGGATTTAAGAAAGAATAACAGGAAAGGGTTTGGAGACAATGAGTGAATAAACTAGTGGTTTTCAAAAGTTTTGGGTGTAAAAGCCCCTTTACACTACTGAAATAGAAGACTGCAGTGCTTTTGTTTTCAGTTATATGGGGATATTTGTAGTATTAAAAATTAAAGCAAGTTTTGTTTTTTTTTTTCCTTTTTTTTCCGGTGCTGGGGACCGAACTCGGGGCCAAAGCAAGTGTTTTTAATGTTTTCAATAAATAACTACATACCAGTTACATGTTGTCATAAATACCATATTTAGGCGGGTAATCATAGCTACCTGGGAGGCAGAGATCAAGGTTCAAGGCCATCCTGGGCAAAAAAATTAGATTCCATCTTAATAAGGTAGGCATGGTGGCTCATGCCTGTGGTAGGCATAGATGGGATAAATCAATACAAGATCCTGTTCAAAACAATGAAGCAGAAAGGGGCACTGGGTATGGCTGAAGTGATAGTGCTTGCCTAGAAAGAATCCTAAGTTCAAACTCCAATACCACCAAAAATAATGTGTGCATCTGTATAATATTTTCCATATTTAATGAAAAATAACTTCAATAAGTAAAATTTCCTAAGTAGAATAGCATTGTTTTGTGTTTGCAAATTTATTTAATGTCTGCCTTAATAATTAGCTAGATTCTCACTGGCTTCTGTATTATTGTTTGGTGCCATATCAGTCATCATGTAACTTCTGAAAACTCCATTGTACATTTAGGAGACCAAGTGAAAAAGGTAAGTAATGCCCTGTTGTTTTTATGAAAAGGTTTGGCTTTTCCAAACCAGAGTGCACAGTAAGAGCCATTGGTACATACAGCTCTTTCTGAGGAATTTTGCTGTAAAGAGGAGCTGAGAAATGGGAATTAACTAGAAACCTAGAGAGAAAGGAATTTGGGTTTCCAAATGAAGGGATAGAACTTGCATGGCCTGATCCTCCACAACTTTACAGTTTGACTTGTCATGGCTCAAACTTGTGGCAGATAAAGCACATCTGACCACAGCACTAACTTGAAGAAACACCTCATAATCTAAGATCGTAGATTTCAGAGTAACATTTAGGTCAAGCTTTTTTTTTCTTTTTCCAAAAACGAAAGGAAGTACACTCTGGGTTGCAACTTGGGATTCCTCTGAAAGGATTTAGACTAGTGACAGTGCAGCGATTGAGGCCCACTTCGGTGGTTTACTGGCTGCGTGACCTCAGACAGGTTATTTCACTTCTCCCAGCCTTGTTTTTGTTATCCATAAAATGGAGTCCATTATATTTATCTTAGGTTGTTGGAGGAATCACAGGAGGTTATGGAAGCGCCCTAAGTGAGCTGTGTAAATGAAGTGCTGCACAGACAGTTTGGACATGCCTGTTACCCTGAAATGGAGGCATTCGGGGCCTCTCTGCAAACAGGGATCTCTAGTAGCCTTGCTTCTAAAGATTGCCGAAGAGCTTTTCCTTTAAAACACAGTGATATCCAAGGCCACCTTGTCTAATTGCTTATTCCAGAAAAATGTATCTATTTTTAACAATACAGTGATGGGCTCTAGCTCTACCTTATTTGTCACTAAATAACTCCTAATGAGTCCTCCCAGCCAGCCACAGCTTTACCCCCACACAGAAAGCCATCCAAGCTGATGTTCCCTGTTGCACCACATGCACATTACCAGGGAGGGCATGGTGCACTCATGGGCCAACTCTGCCATCCAGTACACAAACCTGTTACGAGGGCCTTTTGGAGCCAAGACCTTGAGTGATGTCTGTTTGGAGTGAGCAGTTAAGGCCCGCTGAGGGAAATCAGATGTTGATGTGACCTGACGGGCATCTCTGCTCCGT